ATCTTCACTACTTTGCTCAAAATCTCACACTGCTTTTTCTACAATCCTATTATCATCTTACAAACAATCATGTATCGAATTATGATCGAACGGGAGTTGTTTAAATAGAAAACAAGAGAATTCATCACACTTTATTCCTTTCAAAGGGTCTAATGTCTGATTCAGATGTGTCAGTTTTGAGATACTTGACAGCTAAAATGCAAGAAACGGATTTAGAAAGGGGAAAAATGAAGTCGGGATCTCTGTGAACAAAGTGGTAGACTTATTTACATTTCAAACTGAAACATGTTGTAATATTCTCTTTAATGTGGATGTGTTATGTTCAAAGCTCAGCTATTAAAGTATGGGGTCTTTGCTGAGTGATGACAAAATCACTTTGTATTTGAAATCATACAGATGTCATCTTTAGGGGATACGGCTAAAAGGATTGGAAACATAAATTTAAAGCAGGGTATTTATTCAGTCTAGACTCATGTTGTCTTTCCTTCAAAGTGTTTGCTGAGGAATCAGACTGGCAAATATATTTCTGTCAACATCTGCTCTCTATTTCCAAATTGACAGTCTTCACAAGCAGACGTTGGGATTATGTGTTATTCTTAAACCTTGGATCAAGCTATAAACCTACAGTCCATCACTGCACAAAAAGGCCCCATGCAAACATATATCAGACATATCCAATAAGGTATATAGAAGTTTTCTGTTTGTTTAAATTTCACCAAGTTACCATTGTTTTCCATTTTATTAAGTGTGGAAGCAGTTGGGTATTTTCCTGAAACTGTTTGCAGCAGATCGAGGCAGGGGAGAGATAAACGTGAGGGGTAAGAAATGCGCTATAGAAATCGGTGCAAAGTCGGTGGAAGCAAGAAGGGAAGTGAGGAGCAGCTTTGCCACTGGGATCTTCAGAGCACCCATCTCAGAAGAAAAGCACTTGATGACCACATGCAGCTGCCAAGGAAGCTTACATGGGTTGTAATGGAAGCTGCTGCCTTCACATGGTGCTAAAGTGCTCGTTGGTGGTCCTGGCCATTAATGGACAACAGCATCTATAGATAAATGCCTCATAGAGACATTTGGTGCAGTTATAGCCTGCTGGAAACCTCTGGGCCTGTCCACTACAGCATCTGACCTTGGTGCTCCTCTGTGACTCCGTCCCTTAGTGAGTACATGACTGTTGTACTTGACCTCTGAAACCTCACACAGGTGCCCCTCTTGTTTAAATCTCACCATGTAGCTGGGCAGTGCAGGTCACCATGTGGTTGTTGATGCCTACTACTGATGCCCAATCCAGTTTCTCAAGTCTCAACTGAAAGATATAAAACCTTATTCTATCCTCATGATAACGCTATTCAGAATATCTGTTTCTCTTTTTCCCTACTCAGATATTCCCTCTTATTCAATTTCTTTGCTGGTTTTCCTTATCATTAATACCAATATCCCTGCAGTGACCTAAAACATTTTAAATCTGCTCTCCTATTTCACCCTTAATCTCCTCTCCTAGCCTTCTCTACTCTCTCCCTCCTTTAGTTGTGACTGTCAAACACACACACACACACAAACACACACACACACACACAGGCACACATGCACACACACAGGCACGCACCCTTGCATGCACACACAGAGACACACATGCACACATGCACGCGCGCGCACACACAAACACACACAGGCACACATGCACACACACACACGCACTCACGCTTGCATGCACACACAGAGACACACATGCACACACACACACACACACACACACACACACACACGATCTGTCCTTGAATGTGTTTAACACACCTGCCTGGTACCTAAGACGGTGCACTGCTGATGACAAAGTTGAGTTCTGCAGGTGGTCACTGCCTCAATCCATTCCCTCCTTCTGTTTTTCTCTTCACAACAACTCCTCAGAGAAGTCTCCCATGATTACTTTGTGGGAGCTTCACGTTACTGGCGAAGAGACTTCAGATGTGATGGACTCCTTAATGAATTTGTACAGCTACATAATTTCTACCTTTATAGATAGATAAAGTCACACAGAGACATTTTATTCAGAGCCTTAATGGCTTTGTTCTTCTCTCAACATCCTTAGCCAGATTTCTCTGAAATCCTCCCTTGAAATCTTAAAAGATTAAGCATAGAGATTTAATGCAAGGAAGCCCCAGCCTGAATCTCTCCACCTTCTTTTCCTCACTTTCCTCCTCATAGACACCAAGTATCCTACCCAGAATCGTCCAGAGCACTGGTTCTTACTCATCACACCACTTTTCTCTTTCCTTCTGCCTTTGCTTTCATTTTCCCCTTTTCTTTTTTTTTAAAGTAATTTTATTAAATTATAAAAGTTTCCATTTACGCCCCTCTTCCCAACACCCTCCCACTCCCCCCCCTCCTCCCTCTTTGTCCCTAAGGGCAGTCAGGGTTTCCAGCCCTGTGGGAAGTTCAAGTTCCTCCCCCCTCCCTCCAGGTCCAGGAAGGTGAGTATCCAAACAGACTGGATCCCAAAAATCCAGTATATGCAGAGGAAACTAGTCCCAGTGTCATTGTCAATGGCTTCTCAGAAAGACTCCGGGCCAGCCACATTCAGAGAATCCGGCCACATTCAGAGAATCTGGTTGGATCACGTGCTCGTTCAGTCGCAGTCCAACTGGCCTTGGTAAACTCCCACCAGATCCGACCCCTTGTATCAGTGGGTGATAGCATCCCTCGCAGTCCTTTGTCATTTTCTTCGTCCTTCTGCTCCTCATTTGGACCTTGGGGGGCTCAGTCCGGTGCTCCAATGTGGGTCTCCGTCTGTATCGCCGTCCTTCGCCAGATGAAGGATCTATGGTGATAAGCAAAATATTCATCAGTATGGTTATGGGCCAAGGCCAGTTCAGGCACCCTCTCCTCTGTCCAGAGAACAATCTGGGGATCTCTCCTTGGACCTGGGATCCCATATATAATCAAGTTTCCTATAAACCCTAAAATGACTCCCTTAGTTGAAATATATTCTTCCCTGATCCCTTATTCATCCTTCCTCCCTTCCCCCCATCCCGGTCAACCGAGCTTTCTCCATTCCTCCCCTACTCCCTTCTCTCTAACCCTCTCCCCTTCCAACAACCCTCCCACCACCACCTCCATGCACCCAAGGTTACCTGGGACTCTTGACTATTTCCTACCTCCTGGCGGATAGCTAAATAATCTTCATCAGGTTCGTCTTCTTATTTAGCTTCTCTAGGATCACGAATAATAGGCTCAAAGACCTTTAAATTATCGTTAGAATCCACTTATGAGTGAATACATACCGTGTTCCTCTTTTTGGGTCTGGCTTACCTCACTCAGTAAAGCGTTTTCTATGTCCATCCATTTGCATGCAAAATTCAAGATGTCATTATTTTTTACCGCTGAGAAAAACTCTAATGTGTATATGTTCCACACCTTTTTTAACCATTCTTCTATTGAGGGTCATTTTCCCCTTTTCAACCTGCTTTTAATATTACATTTTTGCTTAACACAATTACGCACATGTACACAATTAACGCTGGCCTTTCTCATCCTCCACCCTCTCTAATCCCCCTACCTCTTCTGCCCACCTTATCATATCCACACAAATCTCTCTCACACTCACGTCTATTTGTTTGGTTTTGTGACCCATTGAGATGAGCCAGGACTGCCTGTGTGGTCCTGGGTTTAGATCCTGGTGTGTATAACGGGGAGTACACAGCTGGAGTCAGTGGTTAGCCCTTTCCCAGAATCCATCAGTAGCCAATAGTTCAGCATGAAAGGGTGCACCGAAAATATTGAGACCCAGTAAATAAAACGAAGTACTTTATGAACACTGGGTTTCTTTAGAAAATATAGATTATTTCAAACCACTAAAATCCAGTCCTGGTCATATCACCTAATGAAACATGGTACTGTAAATAATGTTTTACACTTCTTAGCATCCTCTGTTAAAATAATACTGGTCACAGGCCCTGGCAATGGACGCTATCAGTTAAGACTCATATAAGATATGTGTGAAATATTTAGACCAATGTGGTGATACATGCACAGGGAATTCATCGTAGTATAATTTTCATTCTTACAATTTTAAATATACACTTCAAAGTACATCACTTATTCTTAGGCTGCTCAGCAATATGACAAGAAATTAAAAATATCTTTAATCTCCAATTAAGCCAAAAGTTTGGAGTCTATAAAGTACTAAGAGGATAAATGACCCCATTTATATATGGGAGATTATGTTATAACTTCAGATTTTCCTTAATTAATTAATGATAATAATAGAACACATAACCTCAGGAGATGAGATCAGAGGCTGCCACAGTGGGTTTCAATGATCATGACACATGTCAACAGCTGCTCTAAAGGTATTTCAAATCAAATACTATTAATGCAAGAGGTATATTTTTCAAATCAGATATTCAGATGATTTGTAGTTTGATAATCTGTTAAGAATGGAGGAAATTATATATTCCTCACAAGAGAGAGTTGTTTGAAATAGCAAAGCCAGTAACATACAAGTGATTTCACAAAAACTTAAAAATGGATCTCATTTCTATCATGATCCAGAAAGGCCTCATTCAGCTAGGAAAACGAAAGACCATGGATTGAAATGCTTTCACAGTACCACAATCCTTGAGAGACACTGCCACTACAGATGGGTCTCTGGCTTAGCACTTTTATGTCAGGAGGATTATATCTTTTAATTTACCTGCTAACAACTTAATGCTTTCTTTTATTTCTTGATAATTCTTATACAACTACTCTACTCTTAGCCTTGCCACGGTCATACAAAGGACAAAAACTCCAAAGTGCTATGAGAAACAGTTTTTTCACCAACTCCAGCACAGCCACAGAATAGAATGCAAAGATAAATAAATAAATTGTATGTATAGTAATGCAGACATGCTTGTATGCATGTAGTATCAGCTATTATTACATGTATATCTGTGAGTTACTTTTCATGGAACAAGGAGGGGAAAGAGGAGAACAAAGATTTGAGTTTCCTTATCCAATGAACTTACAATTGAATTACTTAGCTTCATATTTTGCAGCTCCTCTGGCACAGTTATTCCCCCAGAACTCAATATGAAGCTTGACGATGCATTTAGACGTTATTTCCAAGCTACAGTTGCAGAAGAGTGAAGGGGAAGCAGGACAGGCATGCACTACGAGGAAATGTGGACAGGGGAAAGAGAAAGAGGTTGAGGACTTAAAAATATGTCTGAACATATGTGAAGGAGATTACTTCAAGGAAGATTAGTTGAGGTATAAGAGAGAAGTGAGACAGCGTGACAGGGCTGAGCAAATTTCTCTGAGGTAGATAAAACGGCCCTACAGGAGTGAAGTTGACTCAGATGGTTTGCTCTCAGGGAGTGGTAGTATCCATGCAAGACATTTTTAGAGCTATTAAAAGTGGGTTAATAGAGTGGGGGTAAAAATGAGAAGGCATTTGGGTTGAGAAGCAGCCACATGTGTATCTAAGTTGGTTCAGTAATAAAGGTGCCTGCTTTGTAAAGGAGAGAACCTCAGTTTGAATCCCCAGAAGTCAGAAAGTCAGCCCATGTCTATAATTCCAGTATCTCTATGGGAAGAGAGAAGGCACAAACAGGAGAATTCCTTGAAACTTTGACCCAACCAACCTTGTTTTAGCAACTGCACAGTGGCAAAGGACAAAGAAACCATGAATTAGAAAATGTTCAAGCTGTGGTATTAACACACACACACACACACACATACACACACACACACACACACATAATGAAGTGGCAACAATTGTGTGATATACACACAGAAATTACCATGACAATAAGTACAGAGGTTTGAATGATAAGTCACAGTTTTAAGAAAAGTCATGTCTCTGTATGTATCTGCAGATCTTAACATCAGCTCTTACACTGATAACATTTCTTAAACACCAAGATAAGCAGATTATTGAGGCTTTCTTAAATGCCATTGATTTTCTAACAATTATAAATCTTGTCGTGGGTTTAATTTTCTCCAAAAACAGAAACAAAGCAAAGTAACTCACTACTAAATTGAAGGTGGTGTTAAGTGATTAATGTAACTATGGCAGGATGTTGGCGTTCACAACATTTCAGGGTTGGAATCTGAGCCTGTGGAACACTGTGGAATTCTCTCCCCTAAGTAAACATAGGCCTTGTGGATGAATAACTCCAGCAGCAATGTGGCTTAAAGCTGCCTCAAAATGTCTGATAGAATGTAGATAAAGACAAATTTAAATGTCTAAAGTTTTATGTCTACCAAGGAGGCAAGAGGGAGTCACACCTATTTATTCCCTTTTACCTCTTTTGTGTGATATAATAATACTAAAATACATTTACTACATCATAAAATGGATATTTGTAACATATTCTGAGTCACGAAGAACTTAGTGATATTATTTATTCAAGAATATTTACTGATTACCTATGCTCTTGTGGTCTGTGTACCCAACAATTATTAAACAGTGAAAAGTTTGCAGAGTCCAAGCCTTCATTGTGTGGGATGAGGAAAAGGGGGAAGGATCTGTCCTGGGGCATGACTGGAGCTACACAGGCGATGGTGATTATGTTGTTCTGCAGACATCTCCAATGCTCTAACTCTCTGTCTAGAATCACGTATGCGGAAACCTCACACTGCCTCTTCCAGTTCATAGTTATGTACCATGAGCAGTGAGCATAGCAGAAAGCCTTGATATGGGAGAATTTTCAAAGTAATCTTCTTCAGGCATATTAATGCAATTGTAAAACCATTACAGTAAAATGATAAGGACCCTTGGTAGGCCAACTAGGAGAAATAGAAGTCTCCTCTAATTTGAAATTCCTTTCTGTAATTTATAGCTTTTTTGAAAATTTTTTGTTACAAAACCTCCTTTCGTGAGAAAATTTTCTTCATCCATCTCCATATTTGAAAAACAAACTCATTTGTATTTTTGGAGGATTTTTTTGTATCATAATGTTTTGTCTGGCCTTTTTTCTCTTCCTTTCCTTTTTCTTTTTGCCTTTCTCTTATTTGCTATCGTTTCCATTTTTTGTGGAGTTTCTGTGTTTGCCAGTGTCTCTGTGTCTATATGTGTTTTTCATGCATTTTCCTTGGTTCTTTATTTGTTTATTTGTTTTGTCCTATTCAGACTTGTTAATTTTTATTTTGTCTTATTTTATTATTACTTTTTTTAGATGCTTCTTTTGTTCTAATGAGAGAGACCATACAGGATGTGGATTTGGGTGAATGGGGACTAGTTAGAGGAAGGGCAACCATAATCAATATATTATATGAAAAATTTATTTTCAATAAGATTAAATAGAAAAGAAACAATGTAATGAAAATTAGTTCAGCTGTCATTTTAGGAAGTGGTGAGATATAGCATTGGCAAGCCAGGTGAGGATTACCTAACTTGTCTCTGTCAAGCTCGGGACAATCAAATCAATTCTGTGATAGCAAGAAACCTTACATGGTTTTGATCTATAGCATTAAGTATGCTGATCTGTAAATTTAGAAAAAAAAGAACATACAGCATATAAAGATGAAAAAGTAAAAAGTTGAGAAAAGGAAGCAGTCAGGATGCTAGGGGAGAAAACTTCCTTGTCTGTGACCAGAATCAATTATGGCCCCAGAGTTCTGTGAATGCATATCTTTGTTTGGGGAGAATTTATCCAGCAAGGACACAGAGAAGCAGGTAGCTTTGGAATACCAACCCATCCATAGATTTCAAGTATGTGAATGTTTGTGGAACACATGCTATGTACAGGAACGATAAAGACAGAAACAAGCAAAGGTCCACTATTCTGTAGAGAGAGCTGAAGAAAATCAATGGAGGAGGAGCAGGCATAGAGTTTGTTAGGTTTGTGATCCCAGAATCCTGTAAGTGAGATGATCAATGAATTCTTATGTCAAGAGAGAGAAAGGCAGCTAGAACAATCAAGAGAAAGCCCACTTGAGGCAGAAGGATCTACAGGAGTTATCAAAAGCAGTGCAGAGGATGGACACAGAGTGGTCAGCATCACCAAGTCATAGAAACCAAGGATTAAAAAAGAATCTCATAAAATTCATAAGCATCAGGTGAATAGAATTATTTTCCTTTGTTTTGAATTTTTATGAGAATGTTTTCAGTTTTTAAAATTGTTATACAACGTATTTCGATCATCTTTTTTCTCTCTCTTCCTCCATCTCTTTCCAGATCTTTCTCTCTCCAAATAAATAAAAAAGAAAGAAAAAGGATGAAGACCATTAAAACATGACCAAACACACACCACACAAAATGATGGAGTCTGATTTGTGTTGGCCAGTTAATTCCTCTAGAACTTGAAGACTTCCCTGGAGTGCTATTAATACACCATTGTCAGTAAATTGGAGAAAACTGAGTTTTTCCTCTCCCATCAGGCATGAATTGCAAATAGACTAAGACTGAGTGCTCCAAGGTTTCTCAGTCTGCACACATTGTCCAGTAGTGCATCTCTGTATACTGCAAGCAGAAGCTCCACTGATGGGATTAAATTAAGTGCGATCTATATGCATACCAAATTTTCATTTGAAGTAATTTTTATTCTGTATTTTATTCTAAAGAGGAGATTAATAGCAGTGAGTCTTAGCTTCATGACCTATCTAGCCTCAAGTTCTTGGACACCTTAGGAATATCAGGTATGGATTTCATCTCATGTACTGTCAGACAATGGTCTTGTACTCTGTAAAGATTTGTCACTTGTATTAGTTTAATAAATGCTGATTGACCAGTTGCCAGGCAGAAAGTATAGGCAGGGTGACCAAAATAGGAGAATGCTGGGAAGAGGAAAGGCTCAGTCTGCTGTCATTACCCAGACAGAAAGGAAGCAAGATGAGAATGCCTCGCTGATAAAGGTACCAAGCCACGTGGTTAACACAGACAAGAACTATGGGTTAATGTAAGATGTAAGAATTAGTTAATAAGAAAGCATGAACTAATAGGTCAATCAGTTTATAATTAATGTAGGCCTCTGTGTATTTCTTTGGGACTGAACAGCTACAAGACCAGGTAGGACAGAAACCTCTGTCCACAGGAGTGGTCCTTAAAATCAATCATAATATTGTTGGTTACTCCCATAATATTTGTACTACTATCACACAAGTATATCTTGAAGGCAGGTGGATATTGTTGGTCACAGGTACACAGCAAAGTAAGAGAGATATTCATTTTCTTTCTTCTTTGGTAGAATTTATAGTATCTCTCAGCACTATGATGCTAGTCAGTATGGATGAATCTTCTAGTTGTGTACCAGTTCAGCTTCTGTGTATTAAATGACTTAGGTAGGTGGTATCTTCAGCAAAGGGACCTTACTGTCTGAATTTGTATGGTAACCATAGGCCTTGGCAATAAATAGCCTGTATAAAGAGAGTGAGAGAAACTTGAGGAGATGAGCTAAATGAGGAGGAAGTGACAGGGCAGTTAAATGAGGAGGGGGGACAACTAAAAGTAAAGACGTTTAGAAAAGCTATATGGAAGCCTAGTACTGTATAACCTTCCTAAAATATAAATATATATTAAAGTATTCTAAATAGAGTTACCATATAATGATGGAAATGGTCCTCCAACTCAACATTATATGCTACCCAATACACCCCTCAGTGCCAGGAATAGATCACACCTTGTTGAGATAATTGTACTTGTTAATTAAGAATTTGAAAGAGATAACAGGAAAAGTAACATTGTTACTTGTGGTACTTTTTTTTGTTATGTTCTTTCTCATTATATGTAGTTGTCTCTTCCAGTTTTCACACTGGCAATATTTTTACTATTGTTTTAGATAGAAAGAAATACAGAATCTAAAATGTTCAATATATTGACCAAGGTCAAACAATGACTAAATCTAAACTAGTATAGACAGGAACCCTGTTCTATTGAATGATAACACTTTCAGTGACTTTCAGAAGAATAATCACAACGGAAGGCAGTTTGAGGAGGAAATGAAAATGGACAGGAAATATTATTTTATGCTCACATTTCTTTTAGAAAATTTCCCTCTGAAAGAAGAGTTATGCTTCATATTTGCTTCAGAATTTGTTTGGATTGTGCAAAAGGGCTTCTGCTATACACCAAGGAACAGTGACAGATATTTTTAGGTGACCGTTAACTTACGTTGGCAGAATATAGCCTGCTGGGAAAGAGCAGCTTAGATCTTTAGTTTTTGAGTCT